AAAGTAAAAGGGATACTTTAATTAGAGTAAAATTTGAACCAGAAGCCTTTGAATTACTAGTGTGCATTTCTGCAAACTGATTTGTGAAACCCAGTTGTTAAACGGATCTTAATTTCACTTCAATCACTTGACTGAATAAAATCTAACTATCCCTTCGACATCATACTACTATCTGGACCGAATTAGTCCCTCTACTCTTATCTCAATACTAGTGATTACCGAATTAGGGAGAGAGGGAGAGAGATAAGCAGCAAACAATCAATTATTGTTGTACTTTCTGATATGGCCATAAGTTCTTATTTCACCTTTAGTTATCATCTATTGAATAAATCTGTCTACCAGTGTTAAACTAATTCATGCCTTTTCAACATCAATCACTTGGTCTAGTGAAGTACTTCTTCCTTACTGATACTTATGATTTCTGAATTGATTTGAGGTGGTTGGAGGTAGTCAGTTAAGGAGCCTTGAACCTAGGCTTCTTGCTTGTTGGTACTTGTTAGCAAAGTGTATCTGAAATCTTAAAGGAACACTCATGTCCTCTTTAAGATTCGAACCCGCCTCTCTTGGTATTGCAGTCATATACGTTACCAGTGAGCTATTCCGTTTGGCGATTGACTTCCTGTAAGACTGTAATGGATACTTTTATTGGTCGCTGGCTCATACATTTTGTTATTGTGATGGAATTTATGTGAACTGAGTTTAACTGAACGGAATTTTCAACGTAGAATTTCGCACAAAATTTCAGCGTTTCATGTTGTCATTGCCTCAGATAGTATTCATAGAGTGAGTGGAAAACGGAAATGCAGAAAACTAATAAGGTGTAATGTGTAGGGGATAAAACGCATGCATGGAGAATAATAAGAATTTAATGAATATGTGAGTTCATAAAAGGTGAATACATATAAACGCTTTTCTCTAGAGCGAAGAGAATATGTTCACCAAACAAACTAGACAGTGAACTAATGTTTCTTGAAAAATGCTTGAAAGAAAATGGTTACCCACAAAGTTTCATTAACAAATATGGCAAGAATGATCTCAAGAAGCTTGATACTGCTACAGTGAAAATTATTTTCATCAAACTTGACTACAAGGGCGACAACATTATGAGAATGGTAAATAAAAGATTAAGCGCAGCCCTGTCTAGGACGTATCCTGCAGCGTTATTAGTCTCCCTATCCTGAACAACCTCTTCACTGGTGCAGTCAAAGATTGACAAGTACCCCTCACATGTTACCTCCAACTGTGTATACCAGTTCACATGTATCTGCAGGAGCAGTTACATTGGAAGAACAGAGAGGAGGGCCTACGTCAGATTCTGCGAACATGTACCAAGGAGCCTCCGGTTAAAGGGACCAAATTATTTAAGCTCTTCAATCACCTAATATGATTGACACGACACTGAGTAGATTGTGAATCATTTAAAATAACTAACAGACAAAGTACTTCAAGTTTCTCAGGTTTGCTGAAGATGCAAGTTGACTTATGATTACTTTGTTCTAATTCTAACTTATCTTTTCACTCCCCCTTTATTTTTCCTTGACTCTTAAGAGATTTTTTCTTGATCTTCTGAGTTCTGCTCACTGTATTACATCATCAACTTCTCATCTGACCTCATGTGTACCGTAATTTTAAAAATTTTGATCTTCTCTTATCTGATTACGTAACTATTGCTAATTGTCTTTTGTTACCACCCTAACAACACAACTGTTAACTAATTTTTTTTCAAGAAACTTCTCTCTACCTAATATATATGTCGTGACACTTTAGACACCCTGTAAATCTCAATGCCTTATTTTACTATGACGCTCTGACACTATGCTTGCTAATGGACAAAGGTTTGATAAAATTTCAATAATATTCATGTTTTTCTCTCTTTGTTCAAATTCATAAAAGGAATCATTGTTGGAATACATATGTGTCATTGAGAACACTTCTGAGCGTCGTCATCAACAGTTTCGAGCCATTGGTCTCTAACGTCTTCATGAATCACCCTAGCCAAATAGTTTACATTTAACATTTGTGGTTCAAGTCAACAGTCAAAGACTTCATGGATTGATGCCATGTTTTATTCCTTCGAGACTTTCCCCCTTCAGCTGGGTTCACGATTGATCAAACTTTTATCTCTTCCTCACACGATCTCCATGGCACCCTCACATTTACGACCCACTCGTCGCTTCCCAACGGGATTCCACTCGAGGGCCTGGCGTGCGATGTCATTCGGCGGCCTCCTCAATGTATGCCCGATCCATCTCCATTTTCTCCTACATATTTGTTGAGCGATCGGCTCTCGCCTGTTGGTTTGTTCCCATAATTTCTTGTTGCTTATTCTTTCTGGCCGTCATTCATCTTCAGTATGGAGCCAGCAAAGGTAGCTGTTGATGAAAGTCTGCAACCTGTTGGAAGTCCTTTTCGTGACATTCTGTGAAAATTTCTGAGCTGTATAGAAGAACCGGCTTCACATTGGTGTTGAAAATGTGAATCTTGATCCTTATGCTGAGTGCGGGAGATTTCCAGACTGGTTTCAGGTTGATGAAGGCGTATTTTGCCTTTCCGATTCTGACTGGTTTTGACATCTTCGTCCGTTCCGACTGCCTGTAGTTGAAACGATGCTTCCTGGATAAGTGAATGAGGCAACCTCTGTTAAATCTCTCCCGTTGATGGTGATTGGTGCTGGTTGTTGCTGCTGTCGGTGGCAATTGGTTATCTTCATCACCTCCGTCTTCTCTGTGTTCACTTGGAGTCTTGTTTTCGCCGCCTCTTAAAGCAGTTTGTTGGTTTTTGCTTGTAAGTCTTCGAGTTTGTGTGACATTAGACATATGTCATCTGCGAAATCCAGATCTTCTAAATGGCGTCTTCTTATCGGTCGTCCAGCGTATTCCTGACTCCTCGCCGCCAACAGTTTGACCACTCTTAATTCTTTTCCAACCCAATTCAAAGTTAGCTAACAATGCTTGATGAGGAAGACTGCTTTTAGTTCAACTGTAAATCAGCAGGTTGGCTGGTTAAAAAGAAAAGAATATTTCAGCCCAGCAATTTGTCATCATCCTGGTACACGATCAAGCTAACTGACTGATTTTATCCTTTACCTTGTTTGTTACAAACTGGTAGTTTTTATACTTTGAAATCTTCCCGTTTCTGTTGGAAATTTATCCTAATAACTGAAGTATATACTATTTAAGTACTGGTTTATACTGTTTGGTTGACGGTAGTTAGCAGTGAAATCCAGAGTGAGCTGTTAGTTTTATATACGATTTGTCAGCGAAATGTACTTGCATCTGTAGTAGAAACACGATCAATCACTGTGGATGCAACTGCGTCTCGCTGACAAGTCTCAGTTGGAGCGAATAGGTGCACCCTGGATTTCACTGCTAGTCACCACCACCATCCAAATAATTTCACAGAAAAGATTTGTAGCTAAGGTGGATTATTATGATGTGGTTGCCTTCTTTGATCTAGGTGATGATTTAATTGCGAAGGTTACATTCTCCCTCTAGACAATATCTTCAGTATGAAGCTTCATAATGAGGCTATTTGGTGGATAATGATTAGCAGTGGAATCCAGAGTGCACATTTCATTGTGTTTGGGACTCATCATCTGGATATACTTGCGTTTCCCACCTGAGACTCGAACCTAGTACCCTGTGTTTCAAATTCCAAAGCTTGTGCTTGTCTAAAAAGACAATAGAAGCTTCACAGTTAAATCATACAGGCCAGAAAATTCAACCACATCAAAGAAAATCTTGTTAACCTCCAGATGTCGTCGTAGTGTACATACTAAGAGCGGACGTATCAACAGAGAGAGAGAGAAAGACAGCGTTTCAAACCAGTATAAATCAGTCACTGGAAAGTACAAAATAATCTAAAGAAATAAGCAGATGACCTTTAGCATACAGGTCTTAAGTTCATGTCAAACACTAATTACTTCGACTTTATACTACGTTACATTATATATAAAAACGTGTATCGAGTAACTTAGTTGATTAAACCAATTCGATATTTCAAGTTCGATCACTGATTGATATCAGTTAGAGAAATACTGAAAACCAGGGAGTACTGGAAAGCTGTTTCGTCCCAGTTCGCTACTCTACATTAATACACACCAACCTTCAGGGTTCGAACTCAGGACGCTTCATGTCAAAAGACGAACTTGTAGACTATTCAGCCACTGGATACCAATTCAATGGTCCATGAATTCCAACTCCTGTCAATTCGTGATTTTAGCGCCACTTCTGGCCGACCGATAACTGCTACCTTGCCGTGGTGGTCGGGATTGAATGCCGCAGTGACCCAACAAGCTAAACTGGCTGGGAATCATGTCCCTGCAGGTCCTACCATGTCAGGAAGGTTGTTTGGATAGCGGTTAGACTAAAAGCAGGTACCATGGGGTACATGGGCTCCAGAATTCAATCGGATCAAATGGCGTATGAACCCATATAGGTCACCGGTAACCATGGGAACGCAGCTCCTGACGCTGCTCCGCTGCCTTGCGGATTAGACTCCAAGTCAAAAGCTCGGGGGGTGGTCCCTTAGGAAAACCACCTGCTTCGGTCTGGGCGCCCGGGCAGTATCTCAGCCCTCACACAATATTGTGTGGCGCATCTTTCTTGGTGCCATATTGTACCAAGTTTTTCTGCGTTTAAATAAATAATAAAATAAAATCTGGCCAATGTCATCGTCGGTGAGTATTTGTCCTTACCCCCGACCTGGCAGACACCACTGGTCACAACTTCTCACTGGGCAACTGCAGGCCACCTCGTCCTGTAACCAGTCACTAACGGGCATCAGACTAATTTTCAAGGGTGATCAAACTTCAGATAAATCAAATCTCTATAAACTAAATCTTAATAGTTTAATACTGTAAATAATCTTTTAGTCAACTGATAGAACACACATGTTAAAATGTAATTTCACTGTATTTCTATCATCTGTAAATTTCGCATTAATTCTTCTGTCGTTGCTATTTTTTCTTCCCCACCCCACCCCCGTCGCCGCCGCTATAGACATGTATTGAAGCTTTACAATATTTAACTGGAGCATATGCTAGATTTAATCGTCAACTAGTTTTAGAACAAGAACGTTGTATAACACTGGAGAGAACAGTTGAACAATTAGCTAAAGAATTACGCAATTTAGAAATTCAATTAAGTGCACACCTACCGGCTATGGTTCAAGGGAAGAATATAAATGGAGTTAACAGTACAGCTGCTGGTATGTTTCACTTTTTTGTATATGGTCTGATGAGAAAAAAATTCTTTTTTGGTTTTTTTATTTCTTTCTTTTTTATTCGTCTTAAATTGTCTTGCTCCCTGCCTTCTCCAACCCGTCCTCGCCTTCTATTCACAGATAATAAAAGATGCCTCAGGGGGGTGTAATCTGTCACAACTGTAAAAAGAAAGTGCGTTTTTAGCATGCTTGAGTGATTTCATTATGCATAACGATTGTCTGTTACTGATGTTTCTTTCTTTTTTAATTATTGATTTTGGAATTACAGTAACTTCTAGAGTTGCCTTTCGATTGCCTTTGGGATCACGTGTTTATTACTTAATGCTGACTACGTTTCATCTGTTGTTACTTGCTTACTTACTTACTACCTATTGTTTTCTATGTGAAGTTATTTTTCACTGATCTAGGCGCTCAGCTTCCAACGAAGTGGGTAGTGTGTTTGAACTTCGGCCCACCTACTGAGGTATGGTTGGTTATGTAGGATCACTAACCCTCATACACACAAAAGGTTTGGCTCATTGCCAACTGCAGTTGTGGAGGAACTGATACTTTGATTAGTCACCAGGTAGTAATCAATGTCATTTGGCTGTGGTTCTTGGACTGGTGCAGACTAAATTCTATCTAATTGATTCGCCATCATGGTGCACACTGAATTGATGTTAAGTATTTGGAAGCAATCGGTAGAAAGCCCTACCTGAGCCGCCTAGGTGTGTCATGCTTGTTGGCATTCACCAGTCAGGAAGGTATGTCTGAAGTCTTGAAGGGACTCATATCCCTTCTGAAATTCAAACCCACGTCACTCGTTGCTGTATTCAGAGATATTACCACTGAGGTGTTTGAGCTGGCGACTGACCTCATGTAGGATTGTAGTGGATACTTTGATTGGTCACTGTGCAGTAACCAATGTCATGCATCTAGTACTTCGTTGGGTGCAGACTGAATTCTTCACGAACAAAAATTGCTGTTTATTGTTATGCTACACGCCATGCAAACGCAGCACTGGTTTCGGTGATTTCAGGTACTCTAAGTATCTACATTACCTTTTCATTAGCAAGTGATTCTGTATCGAATCAAATTAATTATGATAGAGTCTACTTACAACAGAGTCACTTCATCCTTACCATTTGAATTAGTTAAATACGTTTAAAATTACCACCACTAGTTAGTCGGCAGAACAGCGGTTAGGACTCTGGCCGATCATGCACATGGTCCGGAGTTCGATCCCCTGCCGATGTACACCTGATATCAATGTTCGACCTTTAAAATTTTGTCTATCGATGTCACATGCTGAAAATTCCATACCTGTACCAAAATATACGGTGTGGAATCAAGCTATAATCAAAATATTTTAAAAAAAATAAAAAAATATTTAAAAAATTTATATACACAATAGTATTATTATTTTGTCCCTTGCGTTCCGAGTGAAACATAAGGCTTCAGTAGTACTGATGTTGTTTTTGTTTTACGAGGTGGAGTTGCTAGCCCCATACCCAACTTACCTTCTTTATTGGGCTTACTGGCGGCTAGGTGTGAGATTGAGGAATTCATTGGCCAGGATTTGAAACTTGGATCACGCGTGATGTGGTTGGCGAGCATTCTACCGCTGAACTACTCACGCCACCACACACAATGTGAAGTCATTGGTTATTAATTACACTTGCTGATACTATCCGAACAGAGACTATTACAGCACATCTCAGCCATAGAGAGATATCAGTTTGGCTCTGCAGAGATAAGGTCGGTTCAAAGTTGTCAAAATATGATTTTCCTGTTTAGTTGGTCTCGTACAGTCATAGGTGGGCGTTAACGAGAAGTTTTTATCTAAAATGGGAGCTATAACTCTTGGTGTAGGCTTTCAACTACCAATCACTGGGTCATGAGTCCGAATCCTGCTCCACCGAGGGAGGTTTAGGCAGCGAGGTGGTAAGTAGTATTAATTCTCACGCAATAGATGTGACTCAGTCTAATATTAAAAAAAAATCTGCTTCCTTTCAACTGACACTAACATTATCGTAGAATATGCCTTTTCTTCTATCTCTCTCCACCTCTTTATGTTTGTGTGTGTGTGTGTGTGTGTTGGTTTCTTTCCTAGTCTATTCCATTGTTCATTAGTAGTTCAGCCATCTTGCATAACTTGTGGTTTATTGCGTCTATTTTACGTGTTTATGAGTTTATTTTCTTTCATATTCACCTTTTGTGTTCGTCATAAACACTAAAGTATATTTTTCATGCAACTGATCATTTGAAACGCGTTAAAGTCTCTACTGCAATCTTTAATTGCATGCACATGTAGGCGTGTAAATAACCACAGCTTGTGATGTAATTGAAAGTTAAGTGTAAACTTGGTTGTAAAGTTCTGATTACTCGCAATAGTAATGATGAAATCTACCAGTGAGTTAAGTACAAGTTAAGTACCTATTTGTTATACTCTCTTAACAATACGTATGTGTAATTAGAATTTTACTATTAAATTGTGATGCTATTAAGAATGTGTTTGATTGTCACATGTTTACTTAGAGAACTATCGTGTGTATTTCTCTGTTCTACGCAGGATTGTAAACTGGTTGAATTGCCTTTTGGCTGGAGGATTTCATCATGGGCTGATATAGGTTAGAGAACCATTGGAAAACCAACTGGAAGTACTGGATAGCTGTTTCGTCAGCCTAGTTTGGGACTCTTATTCAGCAGTACGCACTCGCAGACAGAGTTCGAACCCAGGACCTTCTGGTTACAAGGCGAGCTCGTAAACCGGTACTTGAAAATTAATCTGATGCTCACTAGCGACTGGCCCTATTCAGGCGGTTAACCTGGGGTTCTAGTGGGAAGCTGTGACCAGTAGGGTGCAACAGGTTGGAGGTGAGGTAGTAACTCATCGAAGAAGACATTGGCTAGTGGTCGCGCTATGTCATGAATTGGCAGAAGTTGGAATTCATGGACTGGCCATTGGATCAGGTCCCAGTGGCCTTGTAACCAGAAGGTCCCGAGTTCGAATCCTGTTGGTGGGTGCGTGCTGCTGAATAAGAGTCCCAAACTAGGCTGACGAAACAGCTATCCAGTACTTCCAGTTGGTTTTCCAATTGCTCTCTAACTGATGTCAGCTCATGATGAAATCTTCCAACCAATTAAACAACATTCTCTACAAAACCAATACTTGAACTGACTTTTCTTAAAGACATAGCATAACCTTTTATTCATTAACAGAATATATATATATATAAATATGTATATGAGAGACAGAGAATCCAACTATGCTTATAGTTCTAACATCTTCGGACTTCAAAGTGTCAACCTTCATTACAGTAACAAGAGAAGGGATTCTTTATATATTAGGCTATGAGCCAAACTTATCGTGTGCTGAGATTGAAACCGCTGTACCCATTGACCGAAAATATAGTGCTTGATCCAGTGAACCACTACTTCACAGGAGGTCATCATGTTTATACAATTCTGACTCTTGGTTAACATTTATGTAGGTCAGATTATGTCCAGTTATTTGACTATTAGGTCTTTATCAATCTATACGTGTCTGTTTTAGACAGTATTGGTGAAAATAAGTTTGTTCTTTATCAGAACTTAAATCAAATGGTCTTCCAGTCTAACGGTCTATGGTATATATATATATATATATATATATATATATATATATATATAAGCCTAAACTGTCACTCAGTTATACTGACTGACTGAGTTTCAACGTGGAACTGTGTATAGAAGTGCAGCAGTTCAAGTTGCCAAATTCCATGTAGCACGCAAAGTTAGACAAAATAAGGCGAAAACAGGATTCGAAAGAGAGGGACCACGAAAAGTGAATGCATCTGCACCAGCTATTGAGAACGATTTTGAGCCATACCACCAATTGTGTCCAGCCATTGGTTTTTACCATCCTGAGCACTGCAACCAAACTGGTAGTCTACATCTCCCGACGTGGCTAACTAATACTTCCTGTTATGGATTTCATTGTCTGATGAAGCCACTTTTTGGTTTGATCACCACTAGTTCTTTTCCAACCTGATCTCCTATATCAGTTAACATTGCTTGTCGAAGAAGGCGATGTCTAGGCATACATAACACATGTCCTAGCCATCTCAACTGATGTAGCTCTACAGCCTCATCGATTTACCTTCCCTTCCTACCTAACACTGTACGTCTAACCTCAATATCACTCACTCAGTTTTATAGTTTTCTTTGTCTTCTCCTATTTGTCGTCATAGGGGTAGTAGAATTTTCCAGATATCTGGGTGGACAGGTGTTGAATCATTCCTATTACATGTATTTGCAGTTGATTCGATAAACAAAGCTTCTGTTATCAATCTCTCCCTCCACCCTGTGACATTAGATTTTAAAACTGTCATCCTATCCCATCCTGTTGTATGGTTGTGTGTGACTGCATGTAATGCTATGGCTGAACCATTCTCTAGATTTCTTATCAGTGAATCTAGGAGATCACGAAAAAGTGAACCTAACCGCGTCATTTTGAGCCATATGATGAATAACAGTCACCGCGCTTGGATTCTTATCGTTTTGTGAACACCAGCCAGCCATTCAGTCAGTCTATACTTCTTTATGTAGCTCATACCAACAGACAAAAACTTTATTGATCGATGTCTCGTATTTTGATTTGACCGCTTCTAACTCTTTTTCCAACTCAATCCTATCCCAACAATTAACAAGGGTAGAATAAATATAGAGGTGTTTATCTATAATTATTCTTACCCTGTTATTATGATAATAATAGTCTGCTTTATTCCAAAAAAACAGCACGGAATTTTCAGCATACGTCACAATATTGCATCTAATTTACTCAAAATATAAATAGAATTAACCACAGGAATTTGTTCACATTTACAGTAGGAATAACTGAAAACCAGTCACAGGGAGTACTGGACATCTGTTTCATTCTAGTTTGGGAAGCATCGGCAGTACACACCCACCACCGACGTTCGAACCCAGCACCTTCTGGTTACAAGGCCACCAAGCTCGTATAC